CACACACACACACACACACACACACACACAGACACGCACACACACACAGACATTTAAATTTGATTGTATTCGATGGTTTGGGCCCCAGGAAGACATGAAACCACTGTTGTGGAGGCTAATGGGGTTCCTTACAAATGAATAAACCTACAATAAACACACACACACACACAGACACATTATATTGATAAAGAGAGCTGATTTCCCTCATACTGGCTTCTCTTCATTAGCTCCCTGTTTACCCTCTCAAGGCAGGCATTGCCGATTTGCAACAGTTAAAAACTAACAACCTGATTACCCCACATACATATTTTATGAGTTTTTTTTACTCAGAAGTACCACTGCAGGACTTGGTTGTGCATTAGCAACAAAAAGTTTAATTTGAGCCTGAGAGGGTTAAATTTATTATGAATTTAAAATCCTGCTCCTCACATACAAGGTCTTAAACAATCAGGTCCCATCTTATCTTAAATGCCATAACACCATCCTAATAGAGCATTTTGCTGTTAGAGTGCTCTCTAATATTGTAGGGTGTCGATTTTCAAGTGACTTGAGATAACTGGTGTGAACTGCTTCTATCCAAACATCAGTTTTCATTAGGAAAGAGTTTAGTGAACTCAAAAGCCAGTTAAGTAGTCGGTTTACTTTCTCACAGAGACCAAATGGCTCCTGATTGATTGGAAAGTATGCAGCTTTTTCTACATGGAGGATGTGTCCATTTTTACAGTTTGTGGAAACAGCCTATAGTGGACCAGCGAGTTACTGACCAGCTGGAACAGATTTTCCCAGAAGTCCTGAGTCATGAGTCTGAAAAGAGCCAGGAACGCCCAACCGAAAGTGTCGTAGCTGGTGTAGCCGTAGTTTGGGTTTCTCCCTGCCTTCATACAGATGTAACCATCCGGACAGACCCTGGACACATTGTTGTCATCATCTGTGCTCATGTTAACATTACTATTATTGCCATTTACTATTATTTGTATCATTATGTTGACATACCCAGCATCAGAGCTGTTTCCACACAGCAGAGCATCAGCATGACCAGGATAGTAGTAATGGTTCTCTGTGACAGACAGACTGGGGTTACAGCTATGTTCTTCAGAGAAGCTTAATCCTAACCCTTAAAGTATTCCTACCTGGGTTGTTGATGTACTCGTAGAAGTCAAAGTTACTGCTTCCCGTGTTGTTGCTGTAAGTGTCATTGCCATAGAAACTGGTGTTAAGATTACTGTCTGACGTGTGGTTTCTAAGAAATGGTGGTGGCATCAGGACACATTTTTGCCTCAGGTTTCCCATGAAGAGCTGAAGACCAATCAGAGCGAAGACACTGAGGCAGAAAACTGTCAGAATCATGACATCAGCAAGCTTCTTCACTGATTGGATGAGAGCTCCAACAATTGTTTTCAGACCTGCGGATTGGATGGGTGTTAAAGTCTAATCACAAACATCAAAGTCATCACTACAGGGAGACGAAAATCGCTGGTTTGTTTGGTGGTTAAACACGTTTTTTGTTTTTTAGGTGCACTTAACATCCAAAATCCAGTCATGTACACACACACTGACCAGGGATGACGGTAATCGTTTTAAGAGCTCGAAGAACTCGGAATGTCCTCAATGCCGACACATTTCCCAAATCCACAAATTCCGTCAAATATCTGGAATAGACACATCATCAACACCTTCATCTCTTATCATCGTCACTATTTTCATAATTTTTTTCACCTTTTTAATCATTCTAATCATCGTCACTTGCATCATCACAGCATCATCATCAGCAATTTCCTAATGTTGTAAACCTGCTCAACATCTGGCAATAAACCCTTTCTGATTCTGATTCTGATTCTGATCTTCCTTTAATTACTAAATGTTGTTTGAAATTTAACTATGAAGATGGAATATAAATAGCTTCCATCTAAAATAAAATATTTTGCTTTTACAGTTAAAGCTGCTTCTGAGGCTTCTTTTTTTCATTTTGCCAAATAAAATGAAATAAAATGACATCTTAATAAAAAAGCACCGTTTACAAAGCCAGTTATTTTATGAACCGTATGCTGTCTGATTAATACATCAAGTGTATGATTGATTATTACGCCATGCTGATGACCATGAAGTCCAGCCAATTCCACGGGTCTCTGAGGAAGGTGAAGTCTCCGATGCAGAATCCTCGAGACAAAACTTTGATAGATGCTTCAAATGTGTAGATGCCTGTGAACACATATCTGTTCAACAAGGAAACAGAGAAAATAAAAAACATAAAACTCATATCAGCAGGGTATTATAGCAGCACAGCAAAATCCCCAACTGGACTTAACACTGGATTTCTGACCATTACATATGTCTGTGTAGGTATGGGTCATCCAGGTCATGGTGGAGTTTGGAAAGAAAGTGACAGTTTTGTGAGGACATTTCACCTCTCATCACCTGACCATCTCACTCAGCTGATCAGGTTGGCTTGTATAGCAGGTACTAGTGATATTGTGTACATGATGGATGCATCACGTCACCCACTTGTTTTCTTACTCTCATGTCTCCATCACTCTGGAACAAGGTAAACCTGTACTCATCAGACCAAGTGACCTTCAGCACCCAGTCCTTGTGCTTTGTAGCAAACTAAGAGTTGCCTTCACATATATGCATGCTCTTACTTTCACGATTAAACAGGATTTCCTCTGCTGAAGTTTTACAATATGATCAGGATTTGTTTCTTACATATATTCTTCCAGCAGAAATCAGGTTGCAGAGTGAAACGAGGAAAGTAAAGGAGAGCTGTGACACTTAATTATGATTTAAATCAAAGAAACTTTGATTCAGTTAGTTTAATGTTTGATTATTGTTTTTATGTGTCATGTGACTTCAACATGGTACTGTAACCACGTGCCTGGGGCGAACTAAACAACCAAATGACCAAAGCTGCTGAGACTAAGAATTGCTGCTGGAATACAAGAAGTCAAAAGAGGGAACGTGGGTAGTCCAAGAGTTTTTTCCAAAACATTTCCCTCAGAGCACTTTTTCCAGCTGTTGCAGGATCTTTCTCTCAGCTTTCTGAGAATCTCTGTGCTCACTGATAAACATGTCACGTGGATTTGCTGTGTAGAGACATCTGCAGAGACCCACCCACGATTATACTCCAGGGTCTAAGACAGCCACAAAACATGAAAAACCCACACAAAAGAAATGTGATGNATAGAGAGAGAGAGAGAGAGAGAGAGAGAGAGAGAGAGAGAGGTGTGTGTGTGTGTGTGTGTGTGTGTTGTGTGTGTGTGTGTGTGTGTGTGTGTGTGTGTGTGTGTGTGCTGTGGGGTGTGTGTGCGTGAGCCACTCAGCTGTCTTGCTCCATGCTGGTGGGTCACTCATCGTCATAAACGCACAGTTGGTCAGAATCGTTACCATAATGAACAGACTGAATAAAGTTTTATTTGTAAGAAAAAAAATGTCATCCTGTTGTCATAAAGGCATACTGTGACATTATGCAGGTAGGGTGTAAACTATCGTAAAGGATATGAATGAATGAGGACCTTGATGGCTAAGATCCTGAGTGGGTTGAATGGACTCAGCAGGTAACAGGCGGGCTCAGCATTAAACCTGTAGATCACGTTTCCTTTACTGAGCACAATGAAGGTCTGCAGAGAGACAGACAGGTGAGACACAGGTGACAGGCAGACAGGTGGTATGGTGTTTCTCACCATCAGTATCAAATGATAACATGTAGACTGGTTGGGTAAAGTCCCACACAACCTCAAACATCCTCGAGAGGATAAAGAACTGGTCCATTGTTTCAACCATGACAAAAACTGCTCCTCCTGAATCCAGTGTTCTAGTAACAAATGAACTCTTGTCTCTGGTACCCTGACATAAACAATTCCAGGAAAACTCAAGACGCTGTATAGGTGGAGCATCCACCCTCCAGTTCTCTTTCATAATGATGGGGACCACCTTCCCAGTCTGCCAATCCAGAGGAACCATCCCAGAGCTCCACATTGTGCTGCAGGTCTGTCAACTAGGAATGCCTTACTACTCAAGCTTTTCACAATGAGTACCACCTCATAAAATATATGGCTCTTGGAGTACTATCCTTATCAATTACATTAAAGTACAGTAGCATCGGCCTAATAAACACCGCAGACAGTTTACACAGACAATTTTCTTATGAATGTTATTTATTTTAACTGTCATAAACAGGATGTGACGAGTGATAATAATAACAACTGTACTGCATTAAACCATTCACAGCAGGTGGAATATCCGATCATTAAGTGATGACCTGATGAATCCTGCTTCTGGGTCCAAACTACTCTGCATTTATTAAGGCTGTTGTGTTTTTAGCGTGTTCTCTTTGTATCTTGTTTTATTTAATCTGAAACAGTCAGTGATCACTGTCGGCCTCTCTCGGATTTTACCATTACTATTCATTTTTTAAGCTCAGTTTTTAAAACCTTACAATGTAACTACAGCCCAGCCCATGCAGCAGTATGTTAATGACTAACCTTCTATTGCAGTTGTTCTCCTGACTGAAAATTGGTCCATTAACAGCATCCTGCCATGTGATTACATTTGTTCCTAACCATCGGGAACCCTCTTTGTGTGGAAAAAAAATTGCATTCGTCCTCCAACTTCAGTCACTGCTGTTTGGTTTTCTGTCTTCATTTACGTTGACAGTGAGAGCACTGCTGGCTGCGAAGGTTTACCACTCACTTGCAGAAGAAGCAGATCGCATTCTCCTGGCTACCAGGAGCTTCAGCATCCAGGCGATAGTTCCCGACTTACTGACGACATCTCCCCACCAATTCTCCCGGGGGCCTCAAACTCATCAATGGTGGCTGGGAACGTGGCACCTCGGCACCGCAGAAAAGGGCTGTGTTTTTACCATTAGCGTGACTGCCCTACAACATCCAGGGCTTTTAGAAACTCATGGTGAACCTAATCCACCCTATGAGCCAGGCCTCCAAGGAACTGCTTAACTGTGTCAGTGACTCACCTCTAGTAATAGGCTAATTAAGCCCAATTCCTTCCCTTGTTCTCAGACTCTGCTAGCTCTACAGAAGCTATGCCAATAGGATTCAGGATGCCCTCAAAGTATTCCTTTCTATGACCAACTCAGCTGAAGTAAGCAACAACCCACCCTGCTATAAACAGTTTAATTCGAGCACCTCTTTCCCCTTGTGAGATTTTGCTTCAACTATAGCCTGAGTTCCCCTTGGCCTGTCGGTACCTGTCAGCTGCCTGTGGAGTCCCACAGGCTAACCAAGCCCAATGGCCCAGTGGCTCTATTCCCCTCTGGTGTCCACGATGTTGATTAGGGATCACGAGAGGTATCAACCGCTTTGCAGCTGCATCTCCTTGCAACAGCCTAATCAATGAAGGTGTAGAACATTTCCAGCACACCCCCATGATATATTTGGGTGTGCCAGGTGTGTCTGGCATCTGCCCCTGCTACCTGATCCAACTCACCACCAATTGGTGATCAGTTGGCAGTTCAGCTTCTCTCTTCACCTGAGGGCTCAGAACATATGGCCGTAGATATGATAATACAATTACAGAAATGTGTTGTACACTTATGGACATCCTTATGTTCAAACATATATTTCTTTAAACAAAAACACCTTCTTCGACTGGTAGAAAGGATCCAACTCCTCCAATGGGGTGTTGAGAAACTCAGGAGGTGGGTCTCCATATATAAGGGGAAGAGGTTTTCCGGCTTCCAGGTCACTGGCTGGTTTAGGAAGATCTTCCTCTGCAATCTGTGGCACAGCCAGAGTATGGATTATATGTTTTCAGAGTCCTGATTACTTATCCTTAGCTGATCAGTCAGTATATTATATACCTCAGTGTTGTTCTCCTTTCTTATCTGACATTCCTTTTCTTCAGCTTCATGGCGCCGTTGGATTTCCTCCAGTGATGCTGGTGTGAATCGTTTAAAAATCTCTGAACCAATAGGGGGCAAAAGAGGTGCCATGTTGGCATCATGCAGAATCTCCTGAACTTCCCTAGTTCACCTGTCACCTGTAGGGAAAGAAAATGCAGGGGATTTAAGCCCTTCATTAGAAAGGAGCACCATGATGTCACGGTGAAACTAACTAAAAGCGAACTAAGTCAAACAAGAACCACAAGAAAAATGTGACTGTGAATAAAGTGTGAATAATTACGAGAATCAATCAGAAAGTTCACTGGTAATCTTAAATGACGTGACTATTAAAAGTACGTTCTACCTTCCTGCCTGGAGCGTTTAAATGTTGTACACAGCGATGGGCTCAACACTTTCTCTCATATTTTAGAGTCTTTACCTTGGGCCGGAACTTCTTGCCGTCATGTGGTGGTCATAAGTAAAGCTGAATCAAAACTACAACATTAAATCAGAATGCAGTATCTCACTATACTTCACTTGAGCTTTCATGTTTTCAGTGTTGCTGGTGTTGACCCCACCCTTGCGTTACTATGGCACCAGCAGCTGTTGGGAGTCATCAATTTAACCCTTGGGTGTAAAATTACAGTGAGTACGATGACCTGGCTCATTCCAACACACACACACACACACACACACACACACACACACACTTCCTTTCAGTGTTTCTACATGATTTTCTTTCATACCCTCTTCACCTCTCATTGAACCCCTACATTGTTTTGTATTTTAGTTGGATATAAACTCATCCACCGTGACTCCGACATGTAGCATGTTATAAAAACTTCTTTCAGTGAATATAATCATCACTATTGATCACACTGATGATTGACTATATTTTACAGTAGACTCAGCAGAGAAACTGCATGTCTCCCAGCTCGTCTGTCAGCTCAGTGACTCTGCTGGTTCCCACAAATATTAGGCTACAGGAAGCTTAATAGAGACGCTCACACACACTTTGAATCAGTCCAAAGAATTCATTATTACCTCAAACACTAAGTAACACCTGTGTTAAAATGTTGTTTCATCGCATGTAAAAATAACAGATTTAAAATAAATGTAATAACTTTCACTAACATCAATCAGAACAAACACATTTAACGCTTCGTTAACCAGCTCAAAACATTAACTCTCATTAAAAGTGCCACTGCTGTGGAAACACAAAACACACACACACACATGCACATTAATGAACATACAAACACATGAAAGCACAATAGGTAAAATGTAACCACAGAAAATCTGATGATGGCACAAAACCAGGCTTACAGTGAGAGCTGCTGTAGCTGCGTCCTCTGACTTAACCTGAAAGTGTGTGTGTGCATTTATATGTCTTTGTTTGTCAATGTGTGCATGTGTTTGTGTGTTTGTGTGAATGTTTGTGTGTCCATCAGTGACATGTCATTCAACCTCTTGTTCTGGTGATAGCCGGCGCCACACACAGACTGACAGACAGTAATGTTTTGATTCACCACAAGATGGCATCAGAGACCACTTTACATCACTTTACATTCACAGTGACCATTTTAAGTAAAAAACCCATTAAGACTAATAGTAATAAACATAATTCACGATAGATTAAATCTGACCTCTGTCCAGACTTTGTTATTCTTTAGCTCCTGTCCTGTTGTTAGATTTAGCTGTGTGTATTCCCAGGTGTCTCTCCTTGGCCCTCATCAGCTCTTGTATTTATTCCCTCAGTTTGCCTTAGTCCATTGTCACATCATCTTGTTTCCTGCTTATCGTACCTCCTGTTTTGTAATTTTCCAGAGTTCAAGTCGGTTTCCTAGCTGCCAATGTGTCTGTTTTTTTGGCATATTGGTTTTCCATCCATAAAAGATTATGTCATTTGAATGCCTGCCTAACTAAGAGGTCTTCATTAAACCTGACATCCAGAGAAGTTCTTAAGTCCCCACACTGTTTGATCGTGTTCTGGTCCTAATGGTGGCAGTGAAACCTCACTGTTAATGCATAAGGCCGGAGTTCACAGCAGTATGAGGACCTGATTCGTGACGTCTAACATGGATCAAAAAAGTCTGTTTATATGCAGATGACATTCTGATTTTGTGTTCACATCGACAACAAGCAGTTTTCCAGCACAAATCTTCAGCCTGTGAATCCAGAATATTTCATAAACTTCCCTGGAAAACATTCAGCTGCAGAAAAGGAAAAAGGAGATTTTATCAAGCTGACTGAGCTTCTCAAAGGCTTTCCTTTGTCCACAATCGAATCCCGTTTATCTGAAAAACTTTTTTTTTTACACCTTTAAGGAAGGAAAGGAAAGTCTGAGTGACTCAGAGAACAAAATACATAAATCAGCTCACACTAACACTATCAGAGGGCACACACCCACAGATGCATTAAAAGCAGAAGGACTTTTCTCTATCGGTGTGACACAACATCATCACACCCTGCTGGAACAACAACACAGATAACTCTGCGTGTGTGTGTGTGTGTGTGTGTGTGTGTGTGTGTGTGTGTGTGTGTGTGTGTGTGTGTGTGTGTGTAACCATAGCCTGCAGAATGCTGTTGGACATGCTCAGTAACGTTTGGTATTTCCTGTCTCCCTCTTGGCTCTGTTGGTCTTTGAGCAGGAAGTGAATGACAGACTACAGCTGCAGACGCCTCCTACAAGCAGGGGGTGCTGTTCCACATTTCATTTTAAAGAAACATTTATTCAGTTATTTGGGAACTTAAACATCATACCAACTTGAACATCATAACAACCTGTTCCCCAAAGAACAGTCTAAGGTGTGTGTGTGTCTTTAAGTCTTTGTAAATCAGTGAGCAATATTTAAACTATATCGACTTTAAAAAGCACAGCGTGTGACCACAGAGCACCAATATGAAACAGCTGACTGTCATGTGATTGTCATGTGACTAATGTAGGGCCTGTCATTCAGTCTGAATTTACCACAATTTGCAGCAATAATAACAAATACACACACACACACAGAGGGTTTCCATACTGAGCTCGTCTTCAGATCACCTTCTGTTGGTGCTCACCTCACTCTTTCTACTGATCCAAAACATGGAGGACAGAAAGTGACCACATGACAGAAACAAAGACTGCAGTCGTGTCCTGAGACTTGGAGCTACCTGAACAATCTTCATGTGAGAGACAGATGGGAGCTCCGATATGTGAGCGAGCTGCCTTCTGTTGGAATGGAATCATTTCAGTGTCTCACTCACTGTTTTTCTATTGCACAGAGTTAGAAGACTGTGTGATGCATGAGTACAGAGCTAGCCTATGTCTGACATTGCACACTAACGTTGACTTTCCCGTTAGAGTTTCTGACTCTTACCTCCGTGACGCGGTTTGCTGTGTGCAGAACCGTCGCTCACTGTTTACCACAGCTGTTTGAAGTTTTTATATTATTAGTAATGTTTTGTCTTTCTGTGTGTCATGATTGGATGGCTGGAACCTCCTGAAGATCTGAACAGCAAAGCTCTGCAGTCATCTACTTAAATCAATTCAGAAGTGCTGATGGCTGTTTTTGAACTGTTTAACGTCACCCCAGCTGGTTTGTGGTTTGTTGCAGACAAATGTGTCTTGTCTGAATATTGTCAGTGTCAAATTTTGCTGTGTGAGTTTCTCTGATTGAGACGTTCCCAAGTTCACTGACAGCAAGTTCAGATTCTCCAATTTCTCTCTGAAATCTCTGCGGACAAGAACCCTAGCTAAGTCGAGTCAGCTGTCCAGACACACAGCACACACACAACACACACACGACACACACACACCACACATCACACACACACAACACCACACCACACACACACACACACACACACACACACGTGCTTTAGTCTGTACGGATTCTGCGAGGATCACATTGCAAATCAGATGCCAAGAAACTTGTAACTATAAATCCTCCAACCTTCTGCCATCACGCACGTGTGCATGTGTGGGTGTTTCATTCAGTTATGCTTCTCTTCAACTCTGAAAACTACATTAAATAAAAACAGGTTATGCCGGCTTGTACACATACACGAGAGACACGAGAGTTCTTCCTTACTGATGTTTACTGTGCTTCTCTTAACGTACACAGGTACACCGTAGAACTGGTGAATACAAATTACAAGAAAATATATTTCAGCATTAAAACATATTGCAATATAAAATTCACAAAATATAAACAAACATACCACTTTGGCCTGCAAGTAGACAAACCGGTGTAATTGGAACTTAGGACTTATTTCTTCTTTAACATTCACACGGCTAGACCGTCACCATGAGCAGCTTCTCTGACCTTACTTCCCAAAACAGGAAGTACCTCTGCCCTTACCTTATACTTACAAAATTAACCGGTTATTTTCCATGTATCAAATATAACTGTACACTCAATCTGCGTAGGCAAAAAAGAAAGGAAAATGTTACTGCTCAACAAAAAATAAAACATACAAAATAAATGCTGTTAATTACATTATCATTACAAGAGCTCGCCTAGTGGTCAAATACTAACATTTCACCAACTGTTACACTCCCACCATCACACTATCGCAACAGCATGTGTGATCCTAAAGGAATTTGACCCAACAATGAACTTAGCGAAGGTTAACCAATAAACATTATGTTGAGTCTTTACTCTGCTTCAAGTAAAAGTATAGTCTTATGTATGGGTCTCTCTAAAATCGTCTTAGTTGTGTGCTTCCCCTTATTGTCTCTAGTAGAGTCACCGATGAGAAGCTTAACTTTTCTGACTCTGCCGTCAGCTCCTGGAGTGACTTCCAAAGACTTTGGCGAGTTTCCATTGATTTCTTGGAAGACAATCGTGATCTGCAGGATTTTGTTCAGAGGCAACATATCGCCATTGACTTGGTTCTGTACTTGATCTGATTCTCTGTATTCTGTTAGCAACAAATACATGAAAGCGCCTTGCGTCGTTGTTAATATAACCAAGGACAACTTTGGAATCAGTCCAGTAGTACTCCTGAATATTTTGGATCTCCAATTCTCTCTTTAGAAAGTCAGCTGCTCTCGTAGCTACTACAGCCGCAGAAAGCTCCAATCTTGGGATGGTTGTCACTTTAGTAGGAGCGACTCTTGCTTTACCCATCACAAGAGTGCACTGTACTTCTCCAAACTTGGTCACTGTTCTCAAGTATGAGCACACACCATAACCGGTTACACTGGCATCAGAAAAGCTGTGTAACTCATACTGCTTCACTTGGTCAGATGTTGATGGGACATAACAACGTGATATCTTTATGGAGGACAGGTTCTGGAGGTCTCTGAGCCAAGCTTCCCATTGAGGCTTGAGATCTTCTGGAAGCGGCTCGTCCCAGTCCAGCTTTTCCTGACACATTCTTTGGAGGAGTTTCTTACCAACTAAAATGAACGGAGCGACGAATCCAAGTGGGTCGAATATTGAG